TCACCCCCACATGAGGAACCGTATTCAGTGTCACGGTATCAGGAAGGCTGAGAACCACTGCTCTAGCACATCCCGCCCTGTTACCGATGTGCTTACCGGAGCTTGCTAGCGCAGCCTACACTAGCGGCTGCAGAGTGCATTAGCTCTCTCTCCAGTCCGGTCTCCATGGAAGAGGTGAGTGAGCCCTTGCATGCCTGGTTTGATATTTCTCTCAATTTACCTTTGGATTATACAACCGCCCTTTAAGGCCCATTCTGTTGTGGAGGCTGCTCCCCCACAGAAAATAATTCAGACAGACAGACAGCGGGGCACAGGGGCTCCTTGTCCCTGTGTCAAGGCCAAAGGCGTGAATGGATACATTTAGTGGGGCTTGCAGCTCTTTCAAAAGGAATACATATCATCAGTGAATGCGTAATGTTATGAACAGGCAAGAAGAAGAAGATCTCACACTCCCCAGGGGAGCAATCTATGCACAGTATCAGCAGGAGAAGTCAGAGGGGGTTTGCTGCACGTGACAGTGGGCTGGGCTGTAGAGCCTGATTGCTCTTTATCTACAGACAATCCTCAGGCATCGGGAACAGCCAGACGCTGGGATGATTCATCTTATGTGGAAGCTCCTTTACGACAGTTCCTTTATGTGGGAGGTTTGGAGGGACTGTGTTCCGTCCTGAGGGTGAGGCTTAAGACTTATTTATAGCTCATCACCAGGAGGGTCTTCCCCAACCGGAGTCAGCTCTCCAGACCCTTAATGATGAGCAGAGAGGGTTTAGCTGCGTGACATGGTCCCGTAGTTTCCCACAATTCCCCTTTTTGTATGATGTTTTAAGTTTGAAAGGGCTGCATAAACTTTCTGACTTTGCTCCACTTTCCAGGGCTTTCTGCAGAAACAGCAAGCAGTGGTAAAGACAGAGATGGTGACAGTAAGCAAAGCAGTTAATCCAGAGCTTAGGTTATGCGATAGGCTTTGAGCCCATCCTTAAATGCATTGAAAATCTCCCTTTTTAGCTGTTTTACATCTAAGGAGATGTTTCCCTTAAGTCCTTGACATGGTTTCTAGTTAAGGACCCATCACGTAAGGGTCTGTTATACGAATAAGGGGTACACAGACATCAGTCATAGTCCCATCTGGAAGGCTGGTGTACCTCAGCCACTTCTGAGGAGCGTCGAGAAGTTGAGAGCCTGACTACGATCCTAGAGGGTCTTTCTGGTGGAAATTGTTAGAAATCTCAGAAAGGCAAAAACCAGGAATGAGTGGTGTCTTCTGATAAGAAAGCAGGTCTTTCAGAGGTTTCTGTAAGAGGGCGAGCTCCGAGCGGCCTGTCCCGTCCCCCATGCCCCCTCGGAGGAGACCTGCCCTCCAGGCGTTCTCTTTCACCTGAGAAGATGCATACAAATAGGCCCTCCCTGGGGGCTGCTAGAACCTGGGGATGGAATGATTGTGAAGGGAATTGGAAGTTGCTTCTTTTCCTTGGCCGTGTTTGCACCCTCCTTCCCCTGTGGAAAAAAGCTTGCAAACCTGGATCCCAAAGGTGATTTTCGTCCTCCCACCAAGTCTTTTCACGGTGGGCTTTCTCTGTAAGGGTAGAGAGGTCATTTTCTGCCATCTTTTTGTTAAACGTTTTTGTTGGAGAGAAAAAGATGGGGGCTGCCGAAGCTACACGAGGGTTGTCATGTATCCGTAGAACCGCTTGCCTTCCGCCTTTTGTCTTAGGGGTTGAGATTCTAAACCGCCGTCATTGCAGTCCACTTAGACAGTTTACGCAGCTATGTAAATGCAGAAGCTCTGCTTTCGGAGACAGGGCAACCCAGTCGCTGTCCAGTCAGCCATAACAAGCTGACCCCGAATGGCACTGCTGAGCCCTGATGACCCCACAGGGTAAACCCCAGGGTGCAGAGGCTCTTCCGTGTGGCTTTGTCTTTGTTTTTCTCTTTTCTTTTTCTGAATTAATTACAGAACAGATCTCTTTCCCATAACTTTTTAGGGTTAAGCGTGAGCGCAGGCCTAATTAAACCGTACTGCTCTCTAGGATCTGTACACTGTAGGGTTTTTCCACTTTGCCATAGTTTTTTCCTGGCTAACTTCTCCTTCAGACTTTTGATCAATAACCCCAGGAACAATGTGAACACCTTGAGACTTTAGGTCAGGCTTTCCTAAAACCAGAACTACTGTTCCCTCTGGTAGCTGGGGGTCCCCCTAGGACCAGCTCAACTTCTATTGACTGGTGAGACCTACTGCTCTTCCCTCTGCTGGCAGGAAAGTTCGGACTGGAACTGGGCTCCCCAGGCTCCATTGAGTGGGGTTCACTCGAAGCACCCCCCACCCTCCATTTCCCTGCTGGGTTGGTTGTGCTGCCTGATGGGGCTCCTGCGCAGAGCCCTGGCGGCCCGGGGCCACTCACAGTTGGTGAGTTCAATGAGGGTGTCACTGGCCTCCTCTCTGGAAATGTAGGGTTTTCCCGCAGTTCAAATATTTCCCCTTTGGTTTAGTTTCTAATTTTCCTTTTTTGCCTGTTTCTCTCTCTCCTCTTGAAAGCAAAGGTGCCTTCGGTTCCGTTCCAGTTTGATGCTGATCTAAAGCTCTATTGCTCCTGGGCTCCCTCGGGGTGGGGCACAGAGGCTTTTGCCATGAGGTTCTTTCTGCTTAGGGTCGAAACCTGTTCTTCTGGTTTCTTCTAACAGTTCTTCATACTCATTCAAAGAGATTTTAGTCTGCTTTTTAAAATTTGGACAGCTCTTACAAGACTCCTTACTACACTGCCCCTGACCTCCCGGTTTCTTCGCTTCTTCTGTCTGCAGAGGCTCTAACTCGGTCTTAACTCGTATCCACAGGGACCAGGTCTTAGCGGGCCTGGTCTCCCCTCCCCTGTTTGCTTCCTCGACATTTTCAGTGACCTTTCCCGGCCCTTCCTCAGGAAACCAGGGGTTGTACATTTTCACCACCTGTAGAAAACCATTCATTTGTCTTTTCCTTATTGCTACCCTGTTGTTTCCACCAAGGGGCCAGCCTGATACAGTAAGTTTTACTCAGACTTACTCTGACTTTGCCCTGGTCTATCAACAAATCCCCCAGCCGAGTTCTCACTTCAAGGTAACTCCCCAATCTCCTCTTCCTCGGCAGGGTCGCAAAGCCGTTGTGTGAGTCCACTCTCCTCTTCACGGAGTCTTTCCTTGGGGTCCCTGTTCTTTGTCACAAAGACCCGCTTCCAGTAACTCTCCACGCGCACTCTGCTAGAAGGAGCACACAGGGCTGGAGCGGACCACTGCTGTGGAGAACGGTAATGAAGAAGCTAGAGCAGCAGCTACAAGCCGGCCAGGGGCTAACTGGAACAGGCCACCAAAGGTTCCGATTCAAATCTAGTTAAAGTAAAGGGAAATTAGAACAAGTCCACGAGAACCCAAATACGAGACCATCTCAAGAACAGATTGGATGCGTCGAGCACTAATGACACAAGACCTGTGGGCTGGGGGTGTCATCCGGAACATCGCTTAGGAAGAAAACGAAAGGCCATTAGAAAAACAGGAAAAAAAAGATCAAAGTGGGCGTCAGAAGAAACTTGCTCATGATCATAGAGCAGCCAAAGAAATGGGAGAAAGGATGACATCAAAGAACTAAACAGAAAATCCCAAAGGGCAGCTCGAGAAGAGAAAGTCGTGTTCCCTGGGGTAGCACACCCAGAAGGAGGGACACACTCAGCATATCTTAGATGGAAGAAAAAGTCAAGCCGCGACTTGCAACGTTGAAAGATTCTGTTGGCCAAGTAGTAAACGATTAAGTAATTAAGAGGATGGACGTCAAAGAGGCACCAAAAGAAGATGGCAGAATACTCAGAGTCACTGTGCCAAAAAGCCAGCACCCACCATTCCAGGAGGCAGCATGTGATCAGGAGCCAATGGTGCCGAAAGCAAGGAGCCCAAGACACGCTGAAGGCATCCGTGACAACACAGCCCCAGGAACTGACGGGGTTCCAACCAACGAAGGTGCTGCAAACTGACGCAGACCTACATATCTGAGCCAAATCCGAAGACAGGTGACCCAGCCGTGAACAACATCACCATTGGATTTAATGAAATGTCAGGGCATTTCCAAATTCAGGTCCAGCCCCACGCTCTTGTCCTTGTCCTGTTCCTGCCCCTCCTGCCCCTGCCGCCCAGGGGGCAGACTCACTGCGGACCTGGGGTGGCCTGTGTGCGCTGTTAGGAACCCTAACAGCATGAACTGAAGCACTCCACATGGCATTGGGCCATTTAACTGGGGTGTCCCAGGAGACCGTGACCCCAAGCCCCCACAGCAAGGAGCCAGGTCCCATGGGGTGTTGGGTGGGGGCACAAGCAGCTTCAGGCACGTGCTTCTGGTCAGTCTGTCTGCTGCCCCACAGCTGGTGTCACCCCAGTGACACCCTGGCTGCACCCAACCAACGAGCGGGGCCACCCCACCACCGGCGGCTGCCTGGGCTTCTATCACCACAGATGGAGTTGGGGTGCCCTGGGAGCGGCAGCCCCCACTTCCTCCGCCTCTGTCCTGGAAGCCACACAGGCCTCCTTGCCTGGGCCCTTTTGGCCTGAGACAGTCTGTCCTGTGACTGACTCATTTCACCCACCACCCTGCCCCCCAGACGTCCCGAGTCCAGCGCCCCAAGTTCTGCTCCCTGTGTGCGCATGGCTTCTGTAGGATCTGCTCATGGGCACTAGGTAGTCTCTGTTCTGGCTGCAGTGGACAGTGCTGCAGGAGACACAGTGTGCCTGTCCCCATCTGTTTCAGCCTTGCCTTTCAATTTGGACCTTCAAGGACCTGCTGGTTGGTCACTCACTCAGCGAAGGTGTTCATGGAGGGGCTGCCTTCCCCTGCAGGAGTCTCCCCGGGGAGTCCTCTACTCTCCCCTTCTCTACGGAGAGCCCCTGGGGCTGGGGCCAGCATTCAGGCAGCTCTGGGCTCCTAGGGCAGCAGGGGCAGGGACTGGGTCTGTGTGAGAGCAGCTGTGACCGGTTGTCCCTGTCCCCAGATCTTCACGCCTGGAATTGCCACCGCTGCCTCCTTGGAGGATGGGCTCAGAAGTCCCTGCTGGTGACATCGCTGCTGCCCCTCCTGCCAGCGAACCTGCTGCTGGTGACCTGGCCTGTGACTCCGCCTCTGACCCTGTTGCCTGTGACCTTGCTGCTGGGAACCTCGCCACCCCCACCACTACCGGGGATCCTGCTGACGGGGACCCCGCCACTGCCACTGCTGGTGAGCCCTGGTGACACTGTCACTTCCCGTAGGCCCTGTCTGGTAGCACCAGGAGTTTGCAACTGGGTGGGATCTGGGGCGGGGTGGGGTCTGATGTGAGGTCAGGTGAGGGGTGAGGGTCAGGGTCCTGCTCCAAGTGAGGGTGAGCATGGGCAGCTCCTGGACAAAGAGTCTAACATGCAGGACCCCTCCTCTCTGAGTCAGGGGTGGGGGGAGCTGCCCTGCTCAAACTGGGGGTGGATCGCGGGGCTCAGAAGATGGAGTAGGCTGTATCGTGGAGCCTTGTGTGTGGAGATCTGGGGTTGGGCCAGGGAAAGGGGATCCCAGTGTTTCCAGGGGCCTCATAAGCTCCCCACTGTTTTCACAACCAGATCAGCCCAGCAGAACCACCCCACTCCCACCCCCACCCCCGCCACCTCTTTTCGTCACCCCTGTGGCATGGTGTCTTTGAAAATGCCCCACTGGCAGGTCGTAAGAGGTCCGGGCACTCGGCTACACTTTTTCCCAAAAACAAAACCAAGAACCCGAGCCAGCTACCACGGACGGACGGGGTTGGGGCAGCCATACCCCAGAGACGAGACACGAGGGGTGTCTGCATTTGGCCGGACTGGTTCCCAGGAGCCCAGGGTCCAGCCCTGCTCTTGGGCAGTGTCTGCCAGGCAGCTCAGCCTGTGCAACCAAGCAGCCCATCTCCTTGGAAGCCAAGTGCCCAGTCTCCCAGATGGCACCCCACAGGTGGGACTGTCTCCTAACTGGGCTTCCAGATCCCGCGGCCCTCTGCTGAGAGACCAGGATCAGCCTCTGCATGGCCCTGTCAGAGGGCCCTGCAGGAGGCTGTGCGGGAGAGCTCTCCCGGGGCAGTGCACACTGTGCTGGGAGGGAGGGAAGGAGGAAGGGGGCATGGGGAGACCTGTCAGTTCCCTCGCCTGCCTCTCCTGCCCGGGGGTGGGGTG